TTCGGTGCCTTGATAACACCCTGCACTTGGCGAAATAAATCGGTTCGGAGAGACTACCTGGAGTCATGTTGAAGTTGCCTATCACCACCCGTGGCACACGCATTGCTTGCAACAGGGTCCCCCCGATCCGCCAAAACGTTCAGGACTGCGACCTTTCATGGCAATGCTCGGATATGCGTGAAGCAACACGATGTCCAGCGAGTGCAATGCTATTGGAGGACCATCGGGCAGAAGCCACTCAGGGACGACTGGCTAGCCGCCCTCAGGTGCTTGGCTGCAGCCCGCGCCGCCTCCAACTGATAGCACTGCAGGTGGCGACTGCTCAAGAACATCTCCCCGCCTTCGTTGCCCCATGCCTCCTTGGACAGGGGCGCCGGTTTGTCCCAGCGCCGCGCGGCAGTGGACGTGAGCTTCAGGTGGAGCTTTCTAGTTTTGCGATCCCCCTCCTTCGTCTCTGACTCCTTGTGTACGTGGGTCTCTGCGAACGCCCAATGGTCAAACTCTTTCGGTCTGGCCGCCAAATACTTCCATGCTTTGTCCGCCAGGCCGGTGATGTTGGAGTGGAAAATGCGGGTGGCCGCTGCAGCTCCTCCGCCACCCCCTGGCGCCCCCTCGGTCAGGGTCCGAGGGGCCTCCGCTCCTGGCTGTCATTGGCCCGCGCCGCCCGGCGTCGAGCTGGGCGCTGCCGCGCCCTTGCCCGTCGCCTTGGCGGCCTCGGCCCTGGCCTGGAAGCGAGCTTCGGAGAAGCGCTTGGCTTCTGCTGCGATGCCTGCCTCCCTCGTGCTCGCCTCCTCGGCCGCATGCGCCGCCGCCTGCCCCTGCCCTTTGGGTCGCCCCATCAACAGCCTGGCCCTCGCCGCCCGTCTGGGCGCCCTGAGCCGAGCCGTCGCTGGAGTTCCGCTTCTTCAGCATGCGGGCGTTGATCGCGGCCTTGTACTCGTCGGCCTGCTTGAGCCACTCCTTTATCTCCTGCTCCCTCGCGCCGAACGTGTCATTGACTCCTTTTCAACTGCTCCTGGATCTTGTCAAGCGCTGCGCGGAGCACTCCATGTCGTCCAGCCCCGCGAAGAAGGACTCGTCCCGCTCGATGGTGAACAGCCTCTCGGCCTTGGCCAGCGCCGCCGTTGCCGTCCGTTTCGCCGCCAGCGCTTGCGCCAGCGCGATGGCGGCCTTGGCCTCCTTCACCTCCGCCGTGGCCGGGTTGCCGCGGAGGCGCAGGACGTTCGCCACCGCCTGCTCGTGCATGTGCTCCGCATTCTTCACGGCGCCCTCGCACCTCCTGAGCGCCTCCACGTGCGTCTCCTAGGACGTCGGGCCCGCAGCCTGCGCCGCCATCTGCTGCAGCTGGCCGTTGAACGCTGTCTTGAGCCCCGCGTCCTCGGTCGCCTCCACCGCCTGCTGCAGGAGGCGGCTCACGTCGCTTGCCCCCTTGCCGCCTTTGCCCGAGCCCGCGGCGCTGCGTCCTCCTCGGGACGCGGTGCGCGAGCGGCCCTCAGGGCGTAGGATGCCCACGGGCCCTACGGGCAGAGGCGCGTGAGGCCCTCCTCGTCACTCCAGGCGTCATAGAAGTCGTCACCTGCTTGCTCGTCCTCGAAATGGACCTTTTTACTGCCTTGAGTCCCTGGCACACACAACTCCACCTTGCTGCCGCAGCCACTGCAGAATGCCACACATCTTACCTTTGCGATTCCATTCGCACTGCTTGCAGATGCCGCAACGAGACCAACGGGGTGCCATCCTCAGTGTTAGTCGGGGCTCTACCGTGTTGGCTCACGGTGGGGCGCAGTCCATCAAGCGCTGCTCGGAAGCCCAGAGGAAGGGCGCAAGCGAAATGCTCGAGCCCAAGTCCCTTGAGGCGGAGGAGGAGGGGGACGAGGAGGAGGGGGAGGAGGAGGGGGAAAAGGAGGCGGAGGAGGCGGAGGCGGAGAAGGAGGAGGAAGAGCAGGAGCAGGAGGAGGGGGAGGCGGAGGAGGCAGAGGAGGCGGATAATGAGGAGGAGGAAGAGGAGGAGGGGGAGGAAGAGGAGGAGGAGGAGGAGGAGGAGGAGGAAGGGAGGAAGAGAAGGAGCAGGTGGAGGGGCGGAGGCGGAGGCGGAGGCGGAGGAAGAGGAGGAGGAGGAGGGGGAGGAGGCGGAGGCGGAGGCGGAGGAGGGGGAGGAGGAGGAGGAGGAGCCCCCTCCCCCCTCTGCTGGGCAGCTTCTCCGCCCGGCCCCCCCGACCCCCCGCGCCTCAGGATGCTGGCCTCCCTGTCTGGGCCGCTCGCGGCCACGTCCTGCGCCGGGCGGGCGCCGTGGCCCGTGGCCGCGGGCACGGGCCGAGGAGGAGGAGAGGGTCGGGTCGGGCGAAAGGGGGGGATAGCAACCCTGACCTTCCAGGAGGGCTAAAAAATAGCACCCGACGTAAAAACCTATCCCAGAGCTATTTTACGTCTTGGTTTTAGGCTGTTTCGTGTCGTTTTTTAGGTTTTTAGGTTTCCAGTGCTTAAAAATAGCTCTCTGGAAGGTCAGGGAAAGAGGGGGGGTGAGAATCAGCTCGCGTAGCTGATTTTCCCGGCGCCTCCCGGCGCCGGGAGGCGCCCATGTATCGAGGAGTGGGCCCCTCGGTGAGGCCGAAACCAGCTGCATGCAGCAAATTTCGTAACCCCCCCTTTCCCAATCCCCCCCTTTCGCCCGGCCCGAGAGGGGGGGGCCCAACGATCCGTCGCTCCGAAGGCTTCTCAGAGGGAGGCTGCTGCAGAGAGGGCGCGGGCCTTGCATCTGCAGATAAGGCCCGTGCAGTCTGCCTAAGAACCAAGCCTTCTCCCCCCCCTGCCCCCCTCTGCGCGCCGCCAACACAGCCACCTGGGCCCAGACTTCGCTCGAGGGCCCTCCGCTGCCCGCCTCCCCAGAGAACCGACGCTCCAGAACAGTTGGAGCGAGCGGCGTTTGGCCGTTTTCGGCCTCTGGGGGCCCTCGCTGGGCCTCGGGAGCGTCAAACAACGGCTCAGGGCGAAACACCGGCCCCAAGGAAGTAGTCTGGACCTCCGGGGCCCACGCATCGAAAAGATGGAGGGAAGGGGGGCGGAGGCGAGGAATGGGAGCAGGGACAAGCATGACAGGCATTGCTCTGCTCCCAGACCCCCGACGTCATATTTTTTCATTACACCCTGCGAAATGCTTAAGAAATCATGGGTTAAGAAATTCATAGTCTCAGAACTTACATAAAAACCAACAATTTCCATTCAAATCTTAGGATTTACATTGAAACATTAAGAATAATCGAGACTCTGGCCGAAAATTTAAGTTTTCTTAAGCATCGCCTAAAGTGTACGTCGACCCCTCCGAGGTCCCGACCCATTCCCCGGGACCGGTTTCTCCTCCTGCGTGGTTTCTTGACGGCCCCGAGGCCCGGTGCGGGCTCCCGGAGGCTGAAAATATGAAAGAACCTCCCGGCGTGATCTTCTCATTGCCCGAGGGGGCCTGGGCTTCGAGCGATCCCCACCCGGGAACGCGAGCCACGGGGCGGGGGCCGGCAGCCAGGCGGCGGCATCGCCAGCTCGCGGTCAAGCCCCCGCCAGGGCAGCCGGAGCCGCGGGCGCGCGCCAGGCCCCCTGCGCGGGGCAGGCCCAGCGCGCGCTCGCCACTGCAGCGGAGAGCTCTTTTGCGATCGGAGGGGCTCCCGCTGATTTAGACGAGCGCGTCCCACTGCGCGCAGAGTGACTACTCGCAAGTGGCCTGGATCCCCTCACGGGGGACCTACGACAAGTTCCAGCAAGGCAGACGCATGGTCTCTCTGACGTTTGCGAGCAGGCACTCTGCAAAGTAGTGGAACGCGCTCGGGGCAAGACTTGCGATCGGAGCGGCTCCCGCTTTAGTGTTACCGACACGGGGCCTGTTGGCACTGCAACCAGAAGGGAAGGAAACACCACATGAACATAAACTTCTGGCGCTACGCGCGGATTTCTTGGATTCGCGCTGGACCCCCCCCTTTTTGGCGCGCGGAGCGCGCCAGGGGCGGCGCCGGAGGCGCCGCTGGGGGGCCCAGGCGCGGATCTAAGAAACCCGCGCGGAGCGCCAAAAGTTTCGGCTTATGTCTTCGAGCAGCGACTCGCACTAATGGCTGAATTCGGGCCGACGTTGCTGAGACCCAGGGGGTGCGACGGGCAGAAACTCTCTTGCCTAGCCCGTCTCGGCGGCGGCCCCGCCGACACGCCGTGCCTTGCAAGCGGATGGCGTGTCGCTCCGCTCTGCGGGGAGGGAGGCAGGGGAGAAGCTCGAGACCTTTACCCCTGGGGGCCCCGACGAGCTCAGCCTGGTGGGCCAGGACCGGCGGCGCGACACGCTCAGCAGAAATCGTGACCGCCTTGGAGGTGCTGTCGACCCGTCGTCGCCCTTCCGCCCGCCCCGCCGGCACTGCCTATCCCACCCTCTGTCCTTCCCTGGGCCCCGGCCGCGGCCTCAGACCCGCCCCTTCTGATCACCAACTGCCGCAAGCTGGCCATCGCCCGGACGTCCATTCAAGCTGTTTTTTTCGGTTTCGTGCGTGGCTTTTTCACCAAATGATCAAGGATGCTTCTCGAGGGTCCTCGCCGAAGGAACACTGCACACGTCCGAGCGATGCCAAGCAAGGGGGGGAGGCAGGGATAACGGGAGGGAGGGAAGGAATGGATCCAGCTGCAGGTGGGCAACCTACCGATGCGCTCATCCCCGCTGCTCGCCCGGATCCGCTGCGGCTCGGGCTGCCTGGGGATTGGGGGACGCCCAGACCCCAGGCCTCCCGGAATGGAAACCGGAGGCCCCAAGCATCTCGCCACCGCCAGAAGAAATCGCGGCCGAGATGAAGGAGGAGGCTGGCCACGTGGCGTGCCACGATGGCTTGTTTTGTTTTCGCCGCCGCCCTCTGCCGCTGCCTGGCGCAGCTCCGCCCGCAGCACGGCAGGCACCGGCGGCGGCGCGCCGCGTCGCTCGGCAAACCGCGGCGGCGCGGCCCGCCCCGCGGCGTTGCCGCGGCGACCGCTCACGCCATGGTCGGCGGCCCACTTCGTAACCCAGGCGAAGCTCCACCAACGTTCCGAAGGGACGCAGATCCACAGCTCGTGCACAGGCAGCACCTCGACGCATCGGTAGCCCCACTCAAGCAGCAGCGCTGGGCCATCCCCTGGCCCTCTGTGCTCCACCGCCATGACCGGCCTGTGGGTGTGGATGGTGCCGTGGGCACCGCGCAAGACGCGGTCCAAAGCGCCTTCCACGTCGACCTTTAGGAAGTTGAGTCCGCCGACCCCTTGTGGGTCTCCAGGCGTGTGAGGTCGTTCCCCCCCATAACCCATAACCCCCCCTCCAGGGACCCCGAACAGGGATTGACCCTCCCCCCCCCAGCCCCGGACGAACGCTTCATGGGAGCATAGAGGGCCCCAAAACGGGCCAAGAGGGCCCCAAGTGGGCCCCAAGACGATCCAAGAGGGCCCCGAATCGTCGAATGCCCAAGATGGCATCCAGACGGCCCAAGATGCCTCCAAAACGCCCGAGAGGCCTCCAAGAGGCCTCCCAGAGGCCTCCCAAAAGGCACCGAAGAAATGAAAATTGCTTCATTATTCTGCGGAAAACGAATGTTTCAAACACGTTCGCCTCTTGCGCTTTCATACCGCGCAAGACGGCCCCAAAGACCCCTAGGACAGCTCCAAGACGGCCCACAAGGGTCCCAAGACCGCCAAAGAAGCCCCGATGACGGCCCCAGAGGGCCCCCGGACGGCGCCAAAATGGGGCCCACGGGGGGAACCCGAACCCACATTTCCAGCCTTCGGCCCCAGGACGCCCCCAGGTTGCCTCAAGAAGCCCCCAACACGCCCCTAGAAGCCCCCAGGGAGCCCGAACAGAGCCCCCAAACGCCCCGAAGAACCTCCCAGGAATCGGACAAGCCTCGTGGAATGCAGTCCTGGACGCGCAGTAGTTTTTAGAGGGATGTGGGGTATAAGCCTATAGAGCCGATCTAGCTGCATCTCGTCGAGGACCCAAGAGGCCCCAAAGATGCCTCCAAGGGGCCCCCAAGAAATCCCCAGAGGCCCGACAACGACTGGACTTTGCGTGTTCCGGACGTTCACCCCGCGAAGCGAGAGGAATCGATCGAGCTGCATCTCGTCGAGGGGCACCACCGTGACCGTCTCACGGCCCTCGTACTGCAGGGCGTTGTCCGACGTGAAATGCTCCTCCGGCTGAACGAAGACCGGCGTTGCCCCCACGTTGCCGTACCGCGTGAGCGCCGGGCTATTCACGCCCCTCAGCCGCTCGCGCTTGTCCCCCAGCGCGAGCTGGTGCGCGTAGACGTTGCTCAGACCGTTCACAGCGGCGTTGGCCACGAGCTGCTGGAACACCAGCCGGAAGGGCTCGAAGGCGTGGACGGCCCCGCTGGCGCCCACGTGCGCGGCGAGGGGGATGGCGTACGCGCCCACGTGCGCGCCCGCGTCGCATACGGAGTCGCCCTCGCGAACCAGCCTCTTGTAAAGAGACAGCTCGGCTGGGTCGAACGTGCCTCCAATGCGGACGAAATTGGAAACGACGTAGTCCCACACGGGCAGCACCCAGTACCCGACGGGCCCCCGGGGCGAGGGCGTCACCGTGACCGGGAAGTGCTCCCCGGACAGCAGCGCGGGGCGCTCTGGGCCGTGCCAGTCCGGCAGCTCCTGTCGCCGATGCACGCACACGGCGAGGCGGTGCGCCATCAGGAAGGAGTAGTTGCCGTTGAAGTTGAAGCGGCGGAGCAGCTCGGCGCAGCCTGCGTGAGTGGCCCATGGCCTAGAGAAGTCGCCAGCGGCCGCCGCGGCCGCGATGGCCTTGGGAGCGCACAGCACCGCCAGCGAGCATGTGCGCCGCCGCCGCGGGCGCCGGGGCGGGCGCCAGGCCACGCGCATGGGGCCCCTTGAGCCAACGAGGCGTTCCACGAATGCATGATGGACGCCCCGACGACCAAGCCTGAGAGGCTGCTGCTGGTCAGCGCCAGCGTTATCAAGAGCGATATCCAACAACTCCTTAACTTGGGCCGCTGCAGCCCCGGCCGAGGATCTCACCCGCAGCCACTCGGAGAATAACAAAAACCATTACGATGTCCACATGCCCGAGGCCAAAGGGCGCCCGCGCTCGAGCCGGCTCGTCACGCGCGGCATCCATCAGTTCAAAGAGGACGAGCTCCCAGTGCGCACCGTTGCCCCCGAGCTGCCGACGGAGATCAAGCCGTTCGCGGTCTCCGAGGCGGAGATGTGGCCGGCAGCTGCTGGCGAGGACTGCGCTGGCGGAGCCGACGCCCGGCGCGCGAAGAGGCCCCACATGCGCGGCGTCCCCGACGCCTCCGAGAGCCACTTCGGCGGCGCGGGCGCAGCCGACGCAGGAAGGGGGGGCGGGGGGGAAAGGGGGGCAGGAAGGAGGAAAACCGCGTGGGTGGCACTCGGCGCCGCAACGGAAGATGAAGAGGTGTGGAGGTACGTTCGGCCCTCCTTCAGGGAAGTCTTCATTGGCCGAAGGTCCCTGGAAGAGTCCTCGGCCCCTCCCTTACAAACATCTCCTCCCTGTCGCACACCGAGGCTGGTCGAAAGGGCGGGCCCAGCGTCTCGCCTGAGATTCCCTCATCATTTGTGATCCTGAGGCTTCGATGTTGCAGCAGCTTCACGGATGGAGGGCTGCTGGTCTTCAAGATGTGGCTCTCGCCTCACCGCCGCGCACACTCGTCTCAAAAACTTGCAGGGGCTTTTTGGTGTTGTACCGTTTGGAGGGAGAACCTGGGAGCGGCCCCCGTATTCATCGATGAGCCGTTGCAGAGCCCACGCAGCGGCAGCGCTGTATAGTGGCCAGCCGGGCAAGCGTCACCCCAACCTGGAGGGAGGAAGAACGGGAGGACGAGAAGAGGGAAGGGAGAGGCGAGGGAACCCAACCAAACGCCAGGAGCGGCGCTCAAGCTAACCTGCAATAGGCGATTCGTCACGCGCATCCATGGATTGGGAAAGCAGGCGAACTTACATATTCATTGGCCTCGGAGGTCATCGCCCGACTGCCTGTAAGGGTTTTACTGATGGAGTGTTTTATTGATGGAGGGGGGTCGCTTTCAAAATGAGGCTCTCGCCCTAGCGCCGCGCGCATTCGGAATGACAACTTGCTAGGTTCTTACGTATGGAGGGCGGGTGGTTTTTCAACATGTGGCTATCGCTTGAGCGCCGCGCACAGCCGTCTTAACAACCTGGTTGAGTTTCACGGATTGAACGCGGGCCGACTTCAAACTGTAGCCCTCGCCTTAACGCCACGCGCAGTCGGCTTAAAGCATACAATGACTACACGAGTGGAACACGGCTATGTTTCACAATTTAGCTCTCGCCCCAGCGCCGCGCACGTTTGTGTTAAAAGTTTGCAGCATTTTGAAGGATTTGCATGGCCAACGCCCCAGTGGCACCATGCTGAGATGCCAGGGCGCAACAGTCACAGTGATTCGCGGTGTTCGAAAACATGGCGTGCTGGCACGACTCATGACGACGTCAAAACGCAACAGTAACGGTGATTCGCGGCTGTGAAGTCCCAAGGATGGTGTTCTGGCACAGTTCAAGATTGTCAAAGGGTTGTCTTCCAACGGGGCACTTCCCTCAATGAAAATGAATTCGTGTACGGGCCTCTGGGGGAGGGAGCTTGGAAGAAGGGTTTCTTGCAATATCGTTGATGCGTACTGGGCTTACACTGGTCATCCTCTTCCTCCTCTCCCTCCTCCTCCTCCTCCTCCTCCTCCTCCTCCTCCTTTTCCTCCTCCTCCTCCTCCTTCTCCTCCTCCTCCTCCCCCTTCTCCTACTCCTCCGATTCCTTATCCGTCCCCCACCCCTTGGGGCACGCATCTTCACGACCCTTCATTCCACGGCATGCTTCTCCACATCCCAGATCAGGGCAATTCGTCCGGGCATCGCTTATGGATGGGCCGGTAGGTTACTATTTAGTCAGCAGCCGCAGGCGAGAGCGCAAGCGGCGAGTCGAGTCAGAGCGGGCCGCGCAAACACGAATCACCTAAAGCCAGCGGGGCCTCAGGCATAACCACGGCGGACAGGGCACCGCACGCGAAACGTCACAAATAAATCAGCTTCGCGGCCCCAGCGAGGAAGACCGCGCGGGTGGCAATTGACTCCATCATGGAAGTTGAACAAATATAGGGTGCGTTGGGCGTTCCTCTCGGGACGTCTCCTCTGGACGACGTTCCCTAAAGGAGTCCTCGGCTCCTCCCCCCTTGTGGCATTGACACCGTCTTGATAGAGTGGGGGCGGGAGCCCACGCAGACCCTATGATGGCAGCGTGCAGGAAGAAACGCCCAAAGCTGACAACGGCAAGGAGGCGGGGCGCCCTGGGAGCTCTCTCCCCTTCCCCTCCCTGTCCTCCTCCTCGCTCCCCCTCCTCCTACCCCCTCGTTCCTCCTCGCTCCTCCTTCCCCCATTGCCCTCGCTGTCGCCCTCGCCATCGCCGTCGCCTCTCCCTGAACCTCTCCCCTCGCCAGGCCTCGCTCCCCCTCCCCGCCCACGGCTCCGATCCCCTGCCCACCGCACCTCTCCCTGTCAATGGGGACGGGATTGATGTCATGGTGCGATGGGCTCAAGATGCGTAGCAAGAGTTCACGAGTAATGCCAGCTTGTGACTCACAAGAACCATGCTGGCGCGTGATGAGAATTACCCCAGAATAACACCCGAATGCCAACTAAAGTGTGGAGGCGGATGGACGCCCGAAGCGCCGGTTTGCGAAAACCACCTCATGACATTTACAATAAAAAAACCACGCTGATGAAAGATACGTTCGTGATGGCGACATGGTGGCATGGACGCGTTTGGCACAACAGGAAGGACCGAACGACCTCACTCCTGCAGAACTAAGAGAAAGAGCGGGAACAGGATTACGACCTGGACCTATGGCAGCTGGAACGGTGAGAAATCTATGGCGCCGCCACAAGTTGTGGGACTATGACAGCTGGAATGGTGATAACACTTTGTCCTTGCAACACGTTCTGGACCTGCGACGCCTGAAACAAATTAACCGGGGGAAGGACCCAACTATATGCAACTGTGAATACCTCAAATGTGCATACCATCTTCGCCCGCGCTCCCTATGTGGCCACGGCTTCCCGCCGGAGCCCGACATGCTCAGGAACATGTTCGTGGCCGTTTTCGCGGGCGCCGACGACGACAAGGACGGCGTCTCTCTGACCGAGGAGCAGGAGCAGGAGAGGGCTTTGAGAGCGATGAGGGAGGAGGTGGCGTTGCACGTCGACAAAGCGGAATACGACGCCCAGACGCGGTTGCTGAAGCAGCACAACTATGGATGGGGCCACGATCCTCGTGAGGGGTGTGCCGCAATGGCCCGGGGCCGCCATGCGAACCCTGCCACTGGGGCCACGATCCTCGTGAGGGGTGTGTCGCAATGGCCCGAGGCCGCCATGCGAACCCCGCCGCTGCGGGCCTTCGGTGGAATTCCCTATGGGGCCACGATCCTCGTGAGCTGTGGGCCGAAATGGCCCGAGGCCGCCATCCGAACCCTGCCATTGGGGGCCTTCGCTGGAATTCTCTATGGGGCCACGATCCTCGTGAGGGGTATGCCGAAATGGCCGGGGGCCGCCATGCGAACCCCGCCACTGGGGGCCTTCGGTGGAGCTCCCCATGGGGCCACGATCCTCGTGAGGGGTGTGCCGAAATGGCCCGAGGCCGCCATGCGAACCCTGCCTTTGGCGCCTTCGGTGGAGCTCCCTATGTGGCCACGATCCTCGTGAGGGGTGGGCCGACATGGCCCGAGACCGAGATGCGAGCCCTGAAAACCGGCGCCTTCGGAGGAGCTCCCTATTGGGCCACGATCCTCATGGGGGGTGTGCCGAAATGGCCCGAGGCCGCCATGCGAACCCTGCCACTGGGACCTCCGGTGGAGCTTCAAATGGGGCCACGATCCTAATGAGGGGCGTGCTGAAATGGCCCGAGGTCGCCACGCGAACCCTGCCACTGTCGCCTTTTCTTGCTGTGACCAGGCTCGCGCAGCACGAGCTCAGGTTCAAGCAGCCGCAACACGGGCGGCCGCGGCTGGCGGCAGGCGCAATCCTAGGGGGGCCGAGCGGCAAAGGGGCGAGCAAGCCAAAAGGGCCGACTCACTGCCGCCAGGCCAAGCCCCCAAAACATCACCGAGCCCGCGCCTTCGGCTGCACCGCCTTCGGCGGCAGCCCGAGCTGATCCTTGCGACCTTCTGGAGATGATACTGCAAACCACGGGCGCTCTCTGATAGCTTGCATTATGCGGACAAGCCCCTGTGCTCGCCCCCGATCACTCTCGCATATCAATGACAGCGCGTGCAAATGCGATATCCAAAGATGGCTGCGAAAACATCCTCGCCGCTCGCCACTCCTGGAACCCCAGTGCCATCACCAGCGGTCGACGACGCAGCGCTGGGGCCAGAGGGGCAATCGAGGGCCTCCGACCAAGACCGATCGGGCGAGCTTGAGCGGCGAGACGAAACAACACAACCTTGCGAGGCAACCGGACTGCTGGCCGCACTGCGAAAGCAGAGCAAATCGGCGGGCGCACCTTCGCCGCCGTGGGCCCCCCCCCCCAAGGCTTCTGCAGCGGGGCCTGGAGGAGACCCGAGGGACCCCGATGGGGAGAAGCGAGACAGGCCCATCCACAAAGCTCGCGCCGCCAGCCGAACCCAGGCCACACGGGGCCTCAGCAGCGGGCCCTACGAGAGCGCGCGTGCAAGGTCCGACTGGGGCGTCTGCAGCGAGGCCAGCAGGAGCCTAACTAGCACTTGCAACATCTTTCTCAACTGATGTCGAGCGCACAGACCCGCTCGAGATCGCTCCAGACGCTGCCGACAACAGGTAATCGATCTTCTGCTGGGCTGTCTTGAGAGCCTTGGCCTTCG